GAGCAGCGGAGGAGGGAGTCAATGATTTTCATGAGGATTTTGGCCTCAATAACTAGAAAGATGCAACTGCTATTAACTGATATGAGGAAGACTGTGGGAGGAGCAAATCTGTGAAAAACTAAATGTCAAGTAGGCAGTCAGGGTTAGATGAGTCCGGAGGTTAGAGAACAGCTGCAGACCAGATATATAAGTTTGAGAGCTATCAGTATATAGATAATATTTAAAACCATGAGATAAGAAGAGATCACCAAAAGATCAAGTGAAAAGCAAGACAGAAAAGAAGTCCAAGGATTGAGCCCCAGGATACTCCAATATTAAGGGACTGAAGATGGGGGAGAAACAGCAAAACAACAACAACAAAAACAAAAACAAAAAACCTAAGAAGCTATAGCCAGTTGAAGTTGGAAGAAAAATAAAAAGCTCTAGTGTTGTAGGAACCAGGTAATAAGGTACTTCAAAAAAAAAAAAAAAAGATTGATTAATTATGTTTAATTCTGTTGACAGGTAAGTAAGTAAGACAATAAGATGGAGTCTGAGAATGACCATTGGATTTAGCAGTGTGGAAGTTTTGGGTGACTTTAATAAGGGTACTTTTATTAAGAGGTAAAGGCAAATAGTCTCACTAAAATGCACCTGAGAGACAATGTGAGGAGAGGAATAGGAGCAGCAAATACGCACAACTCAAGGATTTTTGTTATGAAAGGAAGCAGGGAAGTTCAGTGGCAGCTGAAGGAAGATGTGGGATAAAGAAAGTTTTTTTTTTCCTTCCTCTCTCCTTTTTTTTTTTTTTTTAGTTGGTTGGTTTTTAAGATGGGCCAAATTAAATATGCTTATAAACTGATAGTAATACTCTAGTAGTCAGAAGAAAAACTGATGATGCAGAAGAGAGAGGGAAGAAATGCTGAAGAAATGTCCTTGAGTAGATGGGAGGGAATTGGATCTAGCCACATGTCAGGGTAGGCCTAAGATAGGAGAACGAACAGTTCATCCACATTAACAGGAATTAACAGATGCAAGTAGGTGGGTAGGTATGATGGTGGAAACTTGTGATGTTTCCTTTTGATTGCTTATTTTTTCAGTGACACAGGAAGCACTGTCACCAACTGGTAGTGAAGGTAAGGAAAAACCTATAGGAAGTTTGAGGAAAGTTTGAGTAAGATGAAACAGTCATCTAGGAAATGTTCATTCTTACTTAATCATTTTTCAATTGAAATGCCTGCCATTTGCCCTGTTTGAAATTCGGGACTCAAATTTAATCCTGTCCCCCTTGCACTCCTACTGCCCAAATCAAAATCTACTCATTTTGGCTCAGTTCTTTATCTTTACCTCTTCTTTCTTATAGGCCCCTGCTAATCTAGAAAATTGGTAGAATATTTCCATACAACTCTGATTTCACACACTTGTAAACTAAAAAACAAAACAAAACAGAACAAACAAAAAAAAACCACTTAAGATTCCAGGCTCCTTTCCAAAGTACACTGATCCAATCCAAACAGGATTCACCATATTACCATCACAAAGGGTCATGAGACTCAGGTTTCCTCGTTGGTAGCTGCTACTCAGCATTCTCTAACTTCACAAACATAAATCATTAGACATTGTCTACATATAACCAAATTATAATGCAAAAGCACACATATTCTCAGATGAAATTTATATTCATAGGCTAAAAGAAGACTTGAAAGACTCCTAATCTAATGCAAGATCTAATCCCATCATAATTCTACTACTAACTTGATGTCAAACAAATCAATTCACCTGTTTCAGATTACCAAACCAAAAAAAAAAAAATAGTATAATCAAACAAGCAAAATAAAATTGTTGTATAAGACCAAAGAAAGAAATAAAAACCAATACAACTTATCCTGGTAATGCAAAGTAATTTAGCACCTGAAAACAATGTAATAAAGCATATTAACAGAAAAAAGGACAAAGAATACATGATAATAATAAATGCAGAAAGAGTATTTGACAAAATTCAACACCTTTCCATAATAAAAACACTCAACAAACTAGTAATAGAAAGAAACTTCCTCAACTTGAAAAAGAACATCCACTGTTAACATCCTATATAGTGGTGAAGGACTAAATGCTTTCCACTTAAAATCAGAAACAGGACAAGGATGTCCAGTTTGCCATTTCTATAAAACATTGTATTGGATATTCTAGCCAGGGCAATTAGGCAAGGAAAATAAATAAAAGGCTATTTATAGATGACAAGATCTTATATATAAACAATCCTAAGGTTTTCTCTAAAAAACTAATAAGTGCAAAAAAGTAAACTGTATTTCTTTATACCTGTGATAAACAATCTGCAAGAAAACAATTCAATTTACAAGAGCATCAAAGAATAAAATACTTAGAAATAAACCTAAGAAAATAAATGCAAATGTTATGCTTTGAAAACTATAAAACATTGTTGAAGGAAATGAAAGAAAATCTAAATGAATGGGCAGACACCCTATGTTCATAAGTCAGATGGCAACAGTCCCCAAATTCATCAATAGATTTAATGTAATCCTTATCAGAATCCCAGCCAGCTTTTTGTAGGAAGGTGATCTTAAAATTCATATGAAAATGCAAGGGACTCAGAGGAGCAAAACAATCTTGAAAAAGAACAAAGTTGGAAGCCTCACACTTCCAAACTTCAAAACTCACCACAGAGCTACAGTAATCAAGACAGATTGCACTGGCGTGAAGTAAAACATATAAATCAATGGAACACAACTGAGAGTTCAGAAATAGAAGTTCATGTGTATTTTCAATCTACTGGGGCAAATAATAGTCTTTTTCAACAAATAGTGTTGGGATCCTGGTTATATACAAAACAATGAAGCTGGAATACTACCTAACACCATATGCAAAAACTTACTCAAAATGGCCTACAGACCTAAATATAAGAGCTAAAACTATACGACTTTTAGAGGAACACTTAGGAGTAAATATTTGTGACCCTGAATTAGGTAATGGTTTCTTACACAAGACAACAGAAGCACAAACCACAAAACAAAAAGTAGATAAAATAGACTTTGTCAAAATTTAAAATTTTTGTGCTGCAAAGAAAATCACAGAGAAAGTGAAAAAACAATCCCCAGAATGGGAGAAAATATTTGCAAATCATACATATGATAAGAAACTTATACGTAGAATACACTGAGAACACTTACAACTCAATAATAAAAAGACAAGTAACCCAACTACAACGTGAACAGAGGATCTGAAAAGCCAGTTCTCTGAAAGACTTAAAGTATATGAAAAGATGCTCAACATTAACAGCCATGAGGAAATGGAAATTAAAAATACAGTGAAATATCACTTTACACCCACTGGGATGGCTATAAGCAAAGACACAGATAATGACAAGTGTTGGTGAACATGTGAAGAAATCTGAACCCTTATATATTGTTGGTGGAAATGTAAAATGCTGCAGTCATTTTGAAAAGTTTGCGGTTTCTCAAAAGGTTAAACAGAGCTGCCAGAAGACCCAGTAATTCCACTCCCAGGTATATATCCAAAAGAAATGAAAATACATGCCGACAGAAAAACTTGCAAACAAATGGTCATACCAGTGTTTGTAATAGCCAAGAGGTAGAAACAATTCAAATGTCTATCAACTGATAAATGGATAAATAAAATGTGGTATATCCATAGAATAAAGCACTATTCAGCAATGAAAAGCAATGAAATACTGATACATGCTACAAGACAGATATGTTTGAAAACATGTTAAATGAAAAAATCTATCACAAAAGATCACATCTGATATATTCCATTTACATGAAAAGTCCACAATAGGCCAATCTATAGGGCAGAAAGTAATTAGTGATTGTCTATGGTTGGAGGGGCATTTTGGGAGAGAAAACGGGGAATGACTACCAATGGGTATGAGGGATTCCTTTATTTTCTATTTAAAAAATTTTTAATTGTGGTAAAAACACATAACCTAAAATTTAACATCATAACCATTTTTTAAGTGTACAGTTCAGTAGTGTTAAGTGTACTTACATTGTTGTGAAACAGATCTCCAGAGCCATTTCATCCTGCAAAACTGCAACTGTATACTCCTTAAACAAAGCTCTCCATATCCTCCTACTTCCAGCTCCTGGCAACCACTATTTTACTTTCTGTCTCTACTAATTTGACTACCTAAAGTACTGCATATGACAGTATTTGTCCTTCTGTGACTGCTTTTTTCACTTAGCATAGTGTTGCAGTGTGTGACAGGGTTTCCTTCCTTTTTAAGACTGAATATTTTATTGAATATATCATATATTATTTACTATTTATCCACTGATGGACATTTGAGTTGCTTCTACCTTGGCTATTATTAATAATGCCACTATAAACATGGGTGTGCAAATACCTGTTTGAGATTCTACTTTCAATTCTTTTGGAGATATACCTTGAAATGAGATTGCTGGATCATGGGGGCTTCTTATTTTAGAGTGAAAATTTTATAGTGGTTATGGTTGCACAACCAGTGAATATACTAAAAACCACTGAATTATACACATTAAATGTGTCAATTATATATAATATGTGAATGATATATCTCAATAGAGCTGTTAAAAAATACAATGCTTAAAGGTTGAATCAAGTTATAATTACTTCAAGGATTTTGGCTGAACTAGATAATCTGGTTACATAACTATTCAATCTTGTTCATGTAATTCTAATTATTTTCAAAGCCTTGGCTAGATGTTTAGGCTTTTATTTATTTATTTTGAGCACAAGCCTAAGTGCTTCTTCAGCACTGTACATCAGAGAAAGCAGAAAAAAGAAACTGTCAGTATGTATATTCAATCATAATATTAAACCTTTTCATATTTTGTATCAGGAAAAATTGCAAGGAAATAACAAAAAATTACGGCAATTTTTATTTTATTTGCCCTGTAGCCATGTCATTCACCAGGATTTTAAAAATAGGGAAATAAAGAATTTACTCACTTTGACTTGAGATTCACTTTTTCAAATGTCACTCACAATTATTTCACATAGAGGATATTCAAAAGACAAAGGATTTATTTACCTTTTCTGCAACAGAAAATTACACAATTAAAAATTCCTATGTCTAGTGTCACTGAATGGGGAAAGAGGCAATATATTTTTAAAAACAAGAGAAAAAATTTTGAGAAAAAAAAGTGCAACAAATTTAAATTCTTATAATCTTGAATTCTTATATACATCTAGAAAAGGTAATGGCAATATAGATGGCCACTGATGTTCAGAAACACATTTCATCACTTTCTTTTCTGCTTCATCCAGACATTTTTAGTATTGTCAAGCTCAAAAACACAGTTTTAGAAAGATGATAAATGAGAGAATCTCAAAGATTTCACATGAGCTCTCTGATCAGAGCAGAGCAAAGTAAGAGAAGCCTTACTTGTCTGATCATATTTTAAAATAATAGGCTCCATATGGTTCACAAGAAAGAAGAGACGAGTAAGTCAGCTTTCAATCTTGGTTCCAAGGCAGATTAAAACAATGATTACAATCTAATTATAAAGACAGTTATTACATGAGACAGTATTTCTTTCCAGAGTATATATTTTATAACTTGAACAGCTTTTCTTAAATAATCTCTCAGGGCTGATTTTAAGTAAAAGCCAAAATAATACCAGTTAATTTCAGATTCTTATTATAGATTTTTCAAAGTCCGCCTGTGTGCAGAAGCAAAATTATGAATTGCGACTCGAAGAGCTGAATTACCCCCAGGGACATCACAGGAATTGATGAATGAATGTAGTGCCCGAGTATATGCTGCAAAAAAAGGTTTGCACAGCAATGAATAAAGTCAAATTCTAAACAACTCTACCAGCCTCCATCTTATTAGTACTGCTTCTCTACCAAGAGTCTTACAAGTAACTATCTATCGAATAAATATTTATTGAGTACTTACTATATGACAAGCACTCTGTGAGGACAGAAAAGATAATAAAGAGTATGGACACAAAAATAATTAAGTTGCCATGTAATACTTCCAAACCAGAGGTATATACAAAATGTTATCATAGGCCAGGCACAGTGGCTCACACCTGTAATTCCAGCACTTTGGGAGGCTGAGGCAGGCGAATCACTTGAGGTCAGGAGTTCGAGATCAGCCTGGCCAACATGGCAAAACCTCATATCTACTAAAAATACAAAAACTAGCTGGATGTGGTGGCGCAAACCTGTAATCCCAGATATTTGGTAGGCTAAGGCACTTGAACCAGGAGGCAGAGGTTGCAGTGAGCTGAGATCGTGCCACTGCACTCTGGCCTGGATGACAGAGCAAGACTGTCTCGAAAAAAAAAAAAAAAAATGTCATCATAGAATGAAGCTGGGAATGAATGTACAACTACCTAGGACAGGATGGAAGACTCCCAGAAGTGGTAACACTTAAGATGAGTTTTGAAGAAATAACAAGAGTAAAGGAAAGAACACAGAGAACTGAGTGTGTCAGGTGCAAAAGGAGTGAACAATATGGCACATACTGGGAATAGCAACTTTGATAAGGCTGGAGTAGGGCCCAGAGCCAGAGAGAAAATACACCAAATATGCCATGCATCTTATACCGCAATGGGGAGCCCTAGAGGTTTTAGAATAGGGAAATGGCATAATTAGATTTGTGTTTTTTAAAATAAAGCTGGTAAGAAACTCATATCATACAGATGAAGCACTAGGAATATATATACTGGCAGTATTCCTAGTGTATACATGAGGGCTACATAATCTTTACACTATATAAATCAATGTATTTAAGGATGCATAGGAAATAGAAATATTAAAGACAATATGAAGGACTAAGTTTTCTCTACCTGGGATGCTCCTGATAGAGTTTATACTGTTTCTTATTTTCCTCAGTCCCTCCTGGCAGAACCAGCAATCTAATGTGGATATACATGGTAATACATCCATGTTACATACCATTAAAGTATTTGGGTAATAGGGAATTCAACTGGATAGAGTCCTAACTTACATAAAAGGCAAATTCTAATAGTCTTCAGTTAAAGGACCTGGAACTGAAGTCCTTCTACAGTAGAATGAGCTGAAAATATTTCCCCAGCATAAATGGAGACAAGAAGATAACAGATCTCCAAGAGAAATATAACTCATTATAATTTTTTCATTGCCTCATATAGTTATTTTAAAAAGGGTTTATAACAGTCTCTGACACATAGTAAGCACTCAATAAATGGTAAATTACTACTACCACTACTCTTATTGATTTTTCTTATTGCCATTAGGCCCTGACTATTCCTTCAAGAAACTTACCCCTGTGGTTTTTATAGAAAATACAGTTGTTGGCACAGGTATCAGGATGAGCATCCCAAAAATCAGGACCACAACAACATAGTGGAGGTAAAGTAATATTATACAGCTGCATTTTCTCCTGGATTTGGGCTCGTAAAGCTTCTACATATCTGTAAAAATAAAGTATGATCAGGCAAAGTGAACTACTAGAAAGAAAGTGAGCATGAATCCTGACTTTACAGCCAGCTTTAACTGTTAAATCTATTTCATATCTCTGAGCCTTGATATTTCCTCTTTGTACTGGGAAAAATGCAGGGCTACACCCAAGAAGTATTAGGCAATCAAAAAATTTGGTTAAGTTATGAACTCCTAAATGAGGAAAAGTATGAAAAGACACAATCAATTCTCTTCTAAGGAAAATGAGAACAATGACTTTCTACCAAGTCTCCTCTAGAGCCAGAATATCATGAAGACTTTTTCAAATTACCTCAGGTATTCTTTTTCTCTCTGTTGTTGTTTTTCTCTGGCTCCTTTTATTTCTTCAAGTTGTAACTGGGCTAATATCTCACTCATTTTCTCTCCTGAATATGGATCTTCATGAAAGTTCATTCTTAGGATCCTCTGCTCTTCAGCATAACGTTCTTGCTCTCTCTTTTTCTTAATTCTGAGAATAAAATCATAACATGGTTAGGAATTTCCTAAAATTATTATTTAAAATTAGCTTCTTTATCCAAATAACTCAAGAAATTCCCAGAAACTAAGGAGTCAGGAAATCAGTTTAATATCCCAAGGATATCTTCAAAAATTTCTGCTGGCTGCTTTATCTCCTCTCAAAGAGAAATGAGCAATAGCTACTATTAGAAGAGTTTTTCCAGGCTAGGTGTGGTGGCTCATGCCTGTAATCCCAGCACTTTGAGAGGCCAAGGCAGATGGATAACATGAGGCCAGGAATTCCAGATCAGCCTGGCCAACATGGTGAAAACCCATCTCTACTAAAAATACAAAAATTAGCCAGGCAGTGGTGGCACGGGCCTGTAATCCCAGCTACTCAGGAGGCTGAGGCTGGAGGATCACTTGAACCCAGCAGGCAGAGTTGCAGTGAGCTGAAATTGCACCACTGCACTCCAGCCTGAGCGACAGAGCAAGACTTCTATTCTCAAAAAAAAAAGTTTTTCTGTAAGAATGTAGCACAACAGTCTTTTCAGATTAAAACTACAAGTAAACAGGGCTTCTGCTTCTGACCAAATCTGCTTCTGACCAAAACAGAGTAACAGGAATCACATTTGCCCTCCAATCTTAAGCCACCAAAAAAAATTTTAAAAGTTTTAAAAAGTACACAAATCAAACAAATACAAGAAATGATGGTTTTCAAGACATTGGACACCAGGTAACAAATGACACTGCTCTTTGACAGACGGGAAACAAGTGAAGTAAACCCTATAACTGCCAGAGATTACTGCCTTGGAAGGTTCCAGGCAGTGGCGCAGGGCAGGGAAATTGAAGTGAAGTCTGATGGGCTCTATGAATTGAAGAGATGGAGTTAAGAGTGCAGGGAGACAAAGGCAATTAGAGTTCACAGGACAAAGTACCAGAGAGAAGAAAGTTGCCCAGAGACAGCATCCCAGAGATGAACAGAGAGTCTCCTGGTACACAGCAGAGCACTGATTGGTGTATGTATGCGGTGAAATAACCTGAGGCTAGGGAGAGAACCATCCAAAATAAAAGAGAACAGTGACTAGAGTCCACATAGCTCCAGGAATAATTGGTCCTTATTTCCACCAATCAAACTTGAAAAACTTGTATTTCACAGAACATTAGGTAGAGTATTCAGAATGATCTTATCTGAGCAGTAGGGAATAAAAACTAATCCTAGACTGAGTACTGCACCAGACTCACCTGACAAGTTATAAAAGCAAGTCCTCAAAGGAACTTGACTGTATGCCAAAACCAGGTTCAAGAATGTAAAGACATCCAGCAACTAACATGGTAAAACTCACAACATTGGGGATCCAACCAAAGATTACTAAGAACACAAAGAGGCAGAAAAACACAACTCACAATCAGGAGAATAATCAATCAAAACGACCTAGAACTGACAGTTGTTAGAATTAGCAGAGAAAAACACTAAAGTAGTTACTACAAATATATTTTATATGTTCCAAATGTTAGGATATAAAAAAGACAAATCAAACTTCTAAAGATGAAAACTACAATTTTAAGACTATGATTCAAGATTTAAAAAACAGTGGATGGGAATACTACCAGCATAGATATTGCAGAAGTAAATCTGAAAACATAACAATAGAAACCATCCAAAGTGAAACACACAAAAAAATCTGAAATGACAAAAAGAGTACAAAATAACACCAAACTAATCATATTAAAAATGGACAAAGGACTTGAATAAACATTTCTCCAAAGATGATATACAAATTGGCTAACATGCATACGAAAAGATGCTCAACATCACTAATCATCAGAAAAAGGCAAACTGAAACCACAATGAAATGATCACCTCACACCCAATAGGATACTTACTATCAAAAAAATAAAAAATAACAGGTGTTGGTGAGGATGTGAGAAATTGAAAGCCTTGTACACTGTTGTTGGAGCTATAAAATGGTATAACCCCTATGGAAAATAGCATAGACGTTCCGTAAAAAACTATAAACACAGCCACCATATAATCTTACTTCTGGGTACATATTCAAAAGAAAGCAAGAGTCTCCAAGAGATGTCTGTACACACATGTTCCTAACAGTGCTAATTCTTAATAGGTAAGAGGCAGAATCAGTCCAAATGTCCACTGATGGATGAATAAACAAAATATATTCTATACATAAAATGGAATATTATTTAGCCTTAAAAATAAAACTGTGTCACATTAAACAACATGGATGAGCCTTAAGGACACAATACTAAGTGAAATAAGCCAGTTACAAAAAGACAAATAATGTATAATTCTACTCACATGAAGGTCTAAAGTAGCTGTGATGGTTAATACTGAGTGTCAGCTTGACTGGATTGAAGGATACAAAGTATTGATCCTGGGTGTGTCTGTGAGGGCATTGCCAAAGGAGATTACCATTTGAGTCAGTGGGCTAGGAAAGGCAGACTCACCTTAACCTCAGTGGGCACAATCTAATCAGCTGCCATCAAGGCTAGAATACAAGCAAGCAGAAAAATGTGAAAAGAGAGACTGGCCTAGCCTCCCAGCCTACATCTTTCTCCCATGTTGGATGCTTCCTGCTCTTGAACATTGGACTCCAAGTTCTTTAGTTTTGGAACTGGGACTGGCTCTCCTTGCTCCTCAGCCTGCAGACGGCCTATTGTGGGACCTTGTGGTCATGTGAGTTAATACTTAATAAACTCCTTTTGCGCGCGTGTGCGCATGCACGCGCGCGCGCGCGCACACACACACACACTCCATTAGTTCTGTCCCTCTAAAGAACCCTGACTAATATAGATTTTGGTACCAGGAGTGGTTCCAGAGGAACAGAGTATTAAAGATGGAGTTCTTTTGTTGGTTTGGGGGTTTCTGCAGTTGGCTACTTAATATGATGAAACCCAAAAATGCTAAGGACTCTACTTCTAATAGTATGAAGAACACTGATAGTCCTTGGCGTGAACTGTGTAAAGAGTTATGTCAAATAAATCCATTTGACATTCGCAATTCATCGCTCGTGAGAGGCAAGGAGTTTAGTGACTCTATATAAAATACCTTTGACCATATGTGGAGCATCAAGGAACATAATGAAGTTGGTTGGCTACTCCTAAGTTCACTGGACAAAGTGATGAAAGAAAATGATGAACTCACGGATTCTAACTCCTGACTTCAGAAGCAGATACTGAGCCTCAAATCTTCTAAGATTGCCCTGAGTAAGAGTCTTATCACCTGTAGAGAAAGACCTGAAATTGTGGAAAATCAGACATAAGCTCTTATCATGCAAGTGGCTGACCTGCAATGAAAGTTGCATGCACAGCCTTGACAGGTGTCTACTGTTAAAGTGAAGGCATTGATTGGAAAAGAATGGGACCCTGCAACTCAGAATGGGGACGTGTGGGAGGACCCTGATGACACTGGGGACACTGAGCCTGTAAACTCTGATGAACCTTTTTTGCCAGAAGAAACAGCTTCCCCATCCCCAAGGATAGTGGCAACATCCCCTCCCCAACCCATGCTGCCATCAGCATTTCCACCTTTGTCTGAGGAGATAAACCCTGTGATGCATGAGGCAACAGTGATGGCCTCCCCTGAGGCAGTTGCCAGGCAAGATAATGTTGATTCTCCTCAGGAGCCACCCCCAAAATCGTGTTTGTTTCTAGACCTATAACTGGATTAAAGTCCCGGTGGGCCCTTAGAGGTCAGGTTGAGAGTGTGACCCATGAAGAAGTGTGCTACACTCGAAAAGAACTGCTTGAGTTTTCTAATTTATGTAAACAGAAATCTGGAGAGCAGGCACGGGAATGGATATTAAGGGTGTGGGATAATGGTGGAAGAAACATAGAGTTGCATCAGGCTGAATTTATTGATTTGGGCTCGCCCACTAAGTAGGGACTCTGCGTTTAATGTTGCAGCTCAGAGAGTTAAAAAAGGTTCTAATAGCTTATTTGCTTGGTTGGCTGAAATATGGAGTAAAAGATGGCCCACTGTGAGTGAGCTGGAAACGCCTGATCTCCCTTGGTTTAACGTACAGGAAGGGATCCAAAGGCTTAGGGAGATTGAGATGATGGAGTGGATTAGTCACTTTAGACCTACTCATCCCAACTGGGAGGGTCCAGAAGATATAACCTTGACCAATGTCTTGCGAAACAGATTTGTAAGGGCAGCACCTACATCTTTGAAGAGTCCTGTAATTGCTCTTCTCTGTATGTCAGATCTAACAGTGGGAACCACAGTCACTTAACTACAAAATTTAAATACAATGGGAATAATTGGATTCCAAAGTGGCAGGGGCCAAGTGGCAGCACTCAATCATCAAAGGCAACGTGGGTGTAGCTACTGTAACAGACAGCAGAGGCAAAGTGGCAATTAGAATAGTCTGACTTATGTAGAGCTCTGGCATTGGCTAATTACTCATGGTGTTCCTAGAAGTGAAACTGACAGGAAGCCTACTGCATTCCTACTTAATTTATATAAGCAGAAAACTTCTATGTCAAATGGACAAAAGATTAATTTGAAGTATAAAAACAGAGAATCATGGCCCCTCAATCAATTTCCAGACTTGAGCCAGTTTACAGACCCAGAGTCCCTTGAATAAAGGGGAGGCCGGTCCCCTTGAGGAAGGACCCCACTACATTACCGACAATTTATGCAGTGAATCTTTCTCCCATCCTTTCCCAAGGAGACCTCTGGCCTTTCACCGGGGTAACTGTGCACTGGGGAAAGGGAAATGATCAGACGTTCCGGGGACTACTGGACATTGGCTCTGAGCTGACACTGAATCCAGGGGACCCAAAACGTCATTGTGGTCCTCCAGTTAAAGAAGGGGCTTATGGAGGTCAGGTAATCAATGGAGTTTTAGCTCAGGTCTGACTTACAGTGGGTCTAGTGAGTCCCCAGACTCATCCTGTGGTCATTTTCCCAGTGCCAGAATGTATAATTGGCACAGACATACTCAGCAGCAGGCAGAACCCCCACATTGGCTGATTGGTAGGGTAAGG